GTGTTAATGCTTTAGCCTGGTAAGGTTATTGTGCCTGGAGCCGGCCATTCATTTCTAGAGCAGCTGCACGACAGGCACCAAAGCACATCTAGGCTGACTGCGGATTCTGCCTACTCCACTGTATCTCCACTGCAAGCGTGCACGCTAGTCTAAAAGCTGCGCTCTACGTTGACTTCTAATCTATTAAAGACAAATCACCTCCACATATGTGGTCATAAAAGGAGGCTCTCTGTACAGTCTGTATGTCTAGGTTCAGCCGCAGTAATGAAGAAACAAAAGAGGTTGGATATAATCAGTACAGCACTGTTTCTGTTCTGCAAATCCCCAGCAGAGATAAATGTATTACAACACATGCTTGAAAGTGCTTCTGACATGCAACGTCCCTAGAGCAGCTTGTAGGCTGACTGACTTCAATGGAAGTAGGTTGCTTTTGAATTTCAGTGAAGCAGCTGCACATGGTCCGAAAGTAGGCCGCGCCTGGATTTCAGTGAAGCAGCTGAACTCCAAAAGAGCATGTGCAGACTCTGAGCATCAAGAGCAGTTCACCAGCCGCTGTGCTACATATTGCACTTGAGGGCCCTATGACAGATTTTTGCTTACACCAGAGCCATACAAAGGATGCAATTTTAATAAATCTGAAACAAGCTCACAAATGCATGAGGAGTTTTCTTACCATCTTTCCAGAGCTCGCCCACAAACTTGTCTGTGGACTGGTGAAGGAGGGTGGCCACATTGTCATTTAGAGGGTCCATGTTCTTCATCAGCCACTCGTCGGCCTTATAGTCCACCTGCAAGGAGAGATCGCAGACCTGTAACCGGCAATAACAAGCAGCCAGGACCTATTCCACCTGTTTAAGCTGTTTGCACACCACTGTCAGAGTCGGATCAGCCACAAGGCAAGAGCCAGGAGCCCGATGGATGTCCAGAGGGCCCAGCCACAACTTTAATGCTTCTGCAGTAAACCAGGGTGACAGTGAATTGCTAAAAACTGCATTCCTGGCTGTCACTTTGCAAGAGATGATGCAGTTATGAATGCACATGGAGCGGCTTCTGTGTGCCTAATGCAATCTAAAGCTGTGACCTTACCTAGGGCCCCATTCTACCTTAATAAGCCAGTTCAGAAGGGGTCCCTTACAGGGAGGTGACAGTATCAGGTGCATTTCTTATCTGTTCACGAAGGAGAAGCTTAAAAAGGAGAACTATGACATGAGTGATTTCCACTCACCTCATAGTTCTAGCCGACCTGTGACAATGAGATTGTCACAGGTCGGCTCAGTAGATCCGGAGGTGAGCGAACACATACCGGGTTCGCTCACCTCTCGATCCTGTCACGGCTGGATTCCCCTCTCCGATCTGCCAGCGCTGACTGGCGGAACAGACGGGGGAGGGTACAGCTGGCTCTTCCTCTAGATAGGCAGAGCCAGCTATCACTTACGCAGCTGGGCGGATCCCGACGTCCATGTCGGGATCCGCTCCGGCGTCTCAGTATACCGCGAGCTGTTGCTCGTGGTATACTGAGCCTAGGGTGACGGGAGGACGCTAGTTTGTGTCCTCTCGTTACCCTAAGGAGAACTATGGGAAAAAAACACTGACCCCATAGTTCTCCTTTAAAGTATAGCCATACTTTTGCAATAGTTGAACGAATGCACCGACAATAAAATAAAAAAAATGCATATTTCTTAAACTATTGCACTGAAGTCTGTAGAGCATTGTAACCACAATCAGTGGGTTGGGGTGCAATGTACTGCACTGTTTACCCTGAAGCCCCAGGTCTATACGGAGGTACAGACCTTTCGTTATGGGGCTGGGGGAAGTAAACAATGGACTATGAGTGTGCTGGCTCAATCTGGGAGTCCCTTTTTTTGCGGTTGCAGATGGGAGACTTCTATGTTCAATGTGATTCAGGAACATTGAAGGATATGGAGGGGGGGGGGGGGGGTGATATCCTGAT